GAATATCATTGTCGTGTTTGTATCTCTAGAATTCCATCGCTGCTTGGTTTGATATTTTTGCATGCTTGCATTCCCAGCCACTGTAATTTTTTACCAACATCTTTGAAGTCCATGCCCCCGCACATATGGGAATCACTGACAAATTGGTTCTCACTAAATCCAACGGTTAATGTAATTGGTATTGTGTTCTCCAAGAAGCTCAACGTTGACGTTGGCAACTTTAAACCCTCGATCAAGTTGACATCATTGATGGCAGAAGTGACGGCAGAAAACATGTTGGAGACTTTCCCTTGCCCCACTTTGAGCATATCGAGACATTGGGTTCTGCCTACTCGTGGCACTATAGCAGCTTTGTTCGTGGTCAGGTTTTGACGAGCTGGTTGGTGGAATTGAAGAGGAGGGTTTGAGGAGGCTGCTAGAAGTTTGGCCTCACGAACCAGTCTAGCCTTGGCTTCGAGTTGAGCCATGTGGTTAAGAGTAGCCACATCCTTAGTGGAGTTGCCATCACTGCAGCCAATGGCTGTAATTTTTGGCTTGTGGGTAACTGGATCAATACCCATCTTGTTTAATCTTTTTTTGAGATGTGTATTCCAGTAGTGTTTGATCTCGTTATCAGTTCTCTTAGGCAAGTGAGTTGCAATGACCGACCACCTGCATGCATATTTAGGAAGTTAATAAGCACTAAGTAGAAGATAAAAATCTATCTCATCCATTTATCAGGTCAGGAAAAGTAGGAGTATTTTTTAAGATGTTAATAATCCTAATGTCTATAATAGTTTTATTTTTTTTAACTATATTCCTATAAGTTATGATTAGATGACAAGTATTACTTTAATATATCACAAAAAATTTACATATAGGACTTTGTTTATTCAAGAATCATCTAAAGTTTTTGCTATGATATTTACTATTTTTTATATTACTCAGGAATTAATCTCTCAGTTATTAACATGATAGTTTAGTGATTTAAATTTTTATATTTTATTTGAATATCTTAAGTTAATCTCATTGATAATGTAAAATTCATTATTTTATGAGTATATTATATATTGGTGGGAACCAACTTATAATATTTGATTTAATAAGTTAATAGTTTAATTTATTAATGTGTTAGTAAGATTATGATGATTAAGTTATATTTTATATCAGTGAATCTGACTTGTTTAGTCAAAAAAATATATTATATGATGACTAAGTTACTTTTAAGATAGATAAAAAATTTAATTTAATTTTTATAATTTTTTATAATTCATAATGATGAGATTTATAACTCATTTATGTTTATGGAGCTTCATCTAATAATTATAATCCTCATGAAAACTATCATAAAATACAATTAACATCATTATTATTTTTTTAAAAATAAATAAATTAGTGGAAATAATAGAGTTTATTGCAATAGTTGGCGGCACTACCTTTTTCTTTGTCTAAATAAATTTAAAAATTTTACATTTACTACAGTTGTAAAAGATAGTGTAAATTTATTATAATATGATAAATTTTACCTCATATTTAATACCATGTAAAATAAAAAAAAAAATGACTTGCAAAATTTATTAAAAATAATAAAAGTTTGAAAGTTATTATTTAATTTTCACAAAAAAATTCATATTAGGTTAATTTTAACTGTTTTAAGAAAAAATTGCATTATTTTATAATTAAACTGCGCGTAAATTTGCAAACGATCAATTGTAAAAAGGAAATCTGAAATATTAAACTATTCATTCCAGAACATGCCTTTAATAATTTGGTATTTAATTATAACCAAAAATTAAAATTTCAAAAGATATAGTTTAACCCTAGAAGAAATTAAACCATGAATTCTTAAATTATAGTTTAATTACTAAACTTGATTTTAATAGTTAAAGTTATACAATAACATTATTCTAATAGTAATAATTAAAAAAGAAAAAAAGAAAGAAAAAAGCCTGGTGTTATTCACTAATTCCCAAGAAGAGCGTGGAGTTGAATGATGGTCTGCTCCTGTTGAAGGGTGAACTTTCCCCTCTTAATATCTTGCCTCAGGTGTCACAAATCAGACTTCGTCTTATAAGGTAATGACTGAAACATACTTTCTTAAATTATATAAATTCGAGTTAAGTAAAAAAACTTAACTTTATTAATAATGAAAAAGTCGTAGAAGCGTTACATCTCTTAAATATAAAATATAAACATATGTACGAAACTCTAAATTTTCTTACTTGTATTCTTAAACAAAAATACGAAATAGTAACCTTAATATCAGAGTCTAGATTTTAGAAATTTTCTC